GTAATGACAGTACTATCAATTAGTAAATAAAGTCTCGCATTTTATGCTTATTCGCAGTAAAAAAAAAAAAAAAAAAAAACAAATAATTAAAAAAATTTTTTATATTAAATTATGCTTATATTATTAATTTAAATAGTCAAATCATTAAATATATGTATTATATATTTTATAAATTTTATTTTTTATTTTTTTAAATTTTAAAATATTGTGTTTTGTTATTTTTATATAATAAAATTAAATTTAGAGCCCATGAATATTATATAACTGGAGTAAGTCTTAAAATATTAAAGAAAAAAATTTTTGGACCAATTTCTTTATTGAGGAGAAAAAAAAAATTCTCCTACTATATTCAAAACTTATTCATATACTATTTAAAATTTTTTATAAAAATTTCTTAAAAAAAAATTACCTTTATTTTAAGTTATTTTATATAAATATTAAAAAAATATCAATAATAAGAAAAACAATACTGAAATCCAGAATCCAAAAACCTGAAAAAAAAGACCCGAAAAAAAAGTAAAACCTAAAAAAAAAAATAAAAAATTTTAAATTAAACTTAAATTTTCACATATTTTTATTTAATATTTTGATTTAATTGTTTGCATATTAGCATATATCAGACTTTAACTTCTCAGATTTTATAGTAACAGATAATCATGCTTTATTACTATAACGACTCCTGTGGAGTCTATTAATACTTATAAAAAATTAATACTATTTCAAAACTTCTATTTATAAATACTCTAATTTTTTAAAAAATTAATAATAAATTATCAAAGTTAGTGAGATTATTATTTATAAAATTTAAAAAAATATATATAAATAGATTTTAAATTATTTCTAAAGAAGTTTTGATTTCAATATTGAAATTAATATAAATTATATAGGTATTCCATAATCTATAAAGAATTTAATAAAGTTATTTTACTAAAAATAAATTATTCAAATACAAAGTATAATCATTTACAAAAGATATTACTTTTAATTTTTACAAATTTTAATATTATTATATTAGTTTATTTTAAAAAGAAAATATATGAAAGGTTATAATTATTAAAAACATTATAGTATTTGAATATTTGTTTTACATTATTAAGAAAAAATATATATGAATATGATCAGGAATTCAAAAAACATTAAAATTTATATTTGAAATAATTACTAATCTATAATATATTTAATATATTATTTGTATAAATTTAAAGATAAACTGATACCAAACAAATCACTAGTTGAAATCCAATTATTCGGCAGTATGCCACTCATCAATTATTCAGCATATGATAAATAATTTGTCAAACATTCATCAAACATTTGGCAATAATTCGGCAGATTCAATTCAGCAATGATTGTCAAATTGTTAACAAATGATTGAAGAATTATTTATTGTATGCTGAATAATTGACAAGTGAAATACTGCCAAATAATCAGATTTCAACTAGTGAATATTGAAGTAGTATTATTAGAAACCTGTACTATAATTGTTATATCTAAAATAATATCATAAAATTAAAAAAAATTTATTATAATTATAAAATTATATCAAGTTATAATAGACATTAGAAAGCAATACTATATAAATAAGAGATCATTATAAAAGTTTGTAAAATAGCAATAAGAAAACATTGATTATTAACAATATTGATAATATATTATTCTACTGTATATCTGAAAAATGGTTACATGATCTATTTGGGTGTACTACAAACATATAATTAATTTCCTGGTGTAACAATATAACTTAATACTTAATATATGCCAATAAATGATCATCTGAAAAAATTGATTATGATAATATCAATTGAATTATGGTATTTATTTATATAGTAATAAAAGTGATAGGTTTCTGTATTGCCATACCATCATTATCCCAAAAACTCTATAAAATTTCTAATATATTTTTTTATGTTTTTTATTACATAAGAGCAGAATACTAATCTATTAAAATCAAAGTAATTATTTTTAAAGCCATATTTCAGAGTTAAATAAGAAAATCACTCTGATACCATTTTAATAATGTGTTGTTGCCTTTCTTCTGGGTCTTTAGGTAGAACAGAAATTGGTAATTGTCATTTCGATGATGTGGATTGAAATATAATTGTTATACAAATAAAGTTTTTCCTCAAAATATTCAGAGATAAGTATGGTTTCATCTGTATAACTTTTATATAACATATGACGAAACTCATCTGTCAATGGGCTCGGTAGGTCAGTTAATAGAAAGTGCCATTTATGATAGTCGCCGGTTAATATTTTCTTGCCAGAGGAAATCACAGAGTGGATAGATAAATGAGATATGTTATAATTATAAATCAATTTAAATCATGTATAGAATAGCTTAAAACATATCTTTTGGAGAAAGCACTAAATATTGTCTTTTTTTAATCTTTATCGCAATTATTGAAAAGATGGTTACATGATTATCTTAATTCTTGCTGTCTACATAAGATCCGGCTTCATGACTCCCTCTTATACTTTTCTTATCCTTAAAACTTAATTTACATGTTGGACATTTTGACTTATCAATATTCTCTATACAGTATACGGTATATCAGGATATCGACCTAATATTTTATTATGAAAATAATCACGATAATGAGCTGAATTAGACAACATGCTTGTGTGATTTATAGGTGAAATCTTAGTTTCTGGCAATATATTACCTTTCGGAGAAAGTGCACGATGTAAAGCAATTACCCCTGCATTAGTTTGGAAATTTCATTCGCGCTATAAGTGACTTGCTTAATTATATCGATTCCAATTCTATTTTTTTCAAAATAACATAAGAGTTTTCTAACTCTGAGATTTTTTTTTGCGCAAGTTATCTTGTGTGATACTTTACGTATTAGGAATAAAAGATTTGTAAATCCCTTTTATCTTTGATTTTACCCTTATTTTCGAATTTAAGAGAATAATATTACCAGTTTAGAATTTCCTGTTGTCTTGATTTGATTGTTTTTTTTAAAAAAATGAGACAAATGCTGGGCAGAATTTCCAAAGGAAGCAATTATCGATTCCTTCAAAGATATATTCCCTGATTTGTCGCCGGAGTTGCTAATTTTGATAGGGTTATCGTTTTCTTTAGCAAATAAATACAACTCTTGTATTAAACCTTTTTTAGCGATTTGGTTTTTATCATTTGCAACGAAGATGACTCAGTTAAAAGTAATTGTTCCCCGAGGGAACAGTTTTGTATTATGATTAACTTGGGGTAGTGATTTCGTATAATTTTTCTTCGTTTCCAGCCGAAGCCTTTTTTCTCTATTTATATCTTATCTCGTTACTAACCCTTCCTTTAACTTTCAAATCCACAAAATAATCGACCTCTTTACCTTCTGGCAATATGTGCTCAGTGGTCCTCGATAGGTGGCGGGAAGATAATTGGGATGCTACTTGCAAGGTTGAACAAACTGGAGATTGCGAGAAATCAGTAATAATTTGATTCTGCTTCTCCATTTTATCAACAGTTCGTGATTTTGGCTTTAAACTCGGCATTGTCTTCTATAATCTGTTTTAACTTTGAATTTTCGTGCTTAAGCTCAGAATTATCGCCACAAGCTTGGCATTTTCTTGTCTGTTTCAGAAGACATGTTTGATATTATGTGTTTTATATATTTGCAGATCTAGAAAAAATATCGCGCCATAATATGTAGCGGCCGTGCAAAGCAAACCGAAAAATAAAATCTACAATAAATTCATATTTGTCTCACTCTTTATCGCTATGGCAATCATTTTGCTTGAAGAAAATTAATCGCGTGATTGTGATCGATGATATAATAATCTGTCATTTCTTATTTTTAACCATTATCGAATTTAATCAGCACAAATGTCTTCCTCCAATATCACTCGGTGCATTTGTAGAAGCGGTTTTCAATCTCACTTTATTACTCGTCAAGTCTTATTCATTCAGCCACCAAAATTTGTGTTGAAAAACCCAAGACCTGACTTGTTTCAATCATCGTTTTCGAAAACTTTTAAAAGTCCTGCTCCTAATAAATCTGAGAAATCAAAGTCTGTCTTCCTCGCTTGGAAGAGTAAATGGATTCCAGTACGAACCTATTTAGGTTCCATCAACTGGAAAAAGACTCGAATTAATAGGAAAGGGCTGTGGAGACTTTTGTGGAGTGTCAGTGCGGTCTTCCTGGCAGGGGACCTTATTTACCTTGGGCGGGTGAACCAATCTAATGAGCGACGCGTCAATAACACCTTTGGAAAAAGGCACTCAACCGAAGACGGAACGGCGGATAATGAACTCATTCTTCGGCCTGAAATTACAGAGTATCTCAAGAAAATTTTTCAGCCAGTTCAAAATCATTCGTATTACCATGTTTTTTGTGGTGAATACGGAACCGGGAAGACAATATTGACTACGAAGGTGGCAAGAGAAATTGGGAAAGGCGTCATATATGTTGATACTTCTGCCGACATTGAAGAATTTGGAAATTCGTTTGGAAAAGCTCTTAATCTTATATTTGATGAAGATGTAGTGTTAACATTACGACTGAAACGAAATTTTTTGGCGATACCAAGGGTGAGTTTGTCATTACTTTTAAGTTTATTATCATTACTTTATTGATAGCTGACCTTTTCAGTTCTAATTTATAGACGAATTTGATCAAAAATGGAAGAGAGCTCTTAGAGCTTTTAGGAAAGCCTTTGAAGCGTATAAAGCGAAGCATGGCCAACCACCGGTTATTGTTTATGACAACATCAGCAAAATAGTTAATAAGAACCCAAGAATTCTTGATATTCTTCAAGATGACGCTAAAAAGAGTGCCGATAGCAGAAAATATATTGCCGTATTTGTCAGTAGCAAATGCTCGGTTCCTCGAAGAATGGAATGTAAGTAATACATTGTTTTTTTATGCGCCTCAATAATTATTACTTACAGATTGAAATCTTATTTTCAGCTCGTAGTGCTTGGTCGCGTGCATACAAACCTGTTATAGAAATCGGAGACCTTAGCGAAAAAGAATCAATGGAATATCGAATCAACAAGCGAAATATCAATTCTATAGATGAAAAAAAACTATATGATTTAGTAGGTGGACGCATCGTAGAACTGAAGGTGACGGCTGATAAATTACTGGCTGGACAATCCTTCGAAGGTAGGATGAGTTTCATCAAATGAATTTACGCGACTCTACTTTGGATTAATCGCTTAATTCTTTTCTGAAGTCATTAAACAGTCAACCCTAACTGAAATCAAGAAGAAATTCGATTCTGCAAAACTCCTTCGAAATCAATCAAATCACAAATCAGGAAAGCGTGTCATCCATGCGCTGCTTGATTCGGGGTAAATAGATACTGATGTATTTAGAGAATTTTTCAATGATGAGGAATACGGTGAAATTTTAGGAGCTAACGTGTTTACATATCATCCATCAAGAGATACGATGTCTTTTCAGTCTCAATCGGTAAAATGTCATATACAGGAAAATGCTGATATATTCTTAAATAGAGTTTAAATTATCGATATTACAAAATACACGAATCTGCTGAAGCATAAAACCTTGTATGGGAGAATCGCTCAGGGATCCAAAGCCCTTGACCAAGTTAAAATGAACGTTCCTATTTTTTAAAGGCTTCATAAATGGAAACTGATACATTACGGCTAAATTATTTATTCTCTGTCCATAAAATAAATATAATTTACCCAGCCTGCTAACATATACCAAACCAGATAAATGAATATTCAAGAGCGTCACGATATTTAAGATTTGACACGCCCATAAATGGCCTGCAAAATGGTGAGTTGATCTATCGAGTTTTACAGGACCTTGTTGCGCATAGCGTCTTTCGAATAAATCGTATTTCGGTGTGATTACCCTTCCGTATCTGAATCAATTGTTCGTCATATACAGTACGCTTTTTTGATGCGTACAGTATTATTCATCGTATTTGATCTCGCAGTAAATTTGCGGTTGATATTGGTGACGGTAAAGATCAAACGGAGAAAATCTCAGAAGTGATATTCTAGTTTTCGGTAAACACAGAATACTAATGATTGAACGTGACAAACATAAATTATGTATTCCACGGTTTTGATGCGATATAATTTGTGATTTCGCACTAACGAGTTATTGTATTTGCGTGTTTTGCGTTGTATTGTGAATTGTTCTAAGGAAAAACCTGTGAGTATATTGATAGTTAATAGAACGAATTGATATCTAGCTCATTTCTTTGTGTATGATCCTTAGAAAGCAAATTTGTGCACGCAAAACAAAAATTCGTGTCTGTCTCGCTAATACATATTAATGAATTTGATATTGAAATATAGCTATCTCATGATTGAAAATTCCGGATCATATCTAAAATGATTCTTAAATATTTATTATGACATTCTAATAGTTCTAAATTATAAATAAAATGTAAAGATTATACAATTATAGAATAAATTTATTGCAACAAAAATATGTAGAATAATTTATAATAAATATTGAAAAATTATGTATATTAGATAAATAATTCTGATTAATGTCTTAATAATAACTGTCAATACTTTGTTAAGATATAACAACTTTATATATTTACTGTATTTATTTATTATATATATATTTTAAAAAATAACCTAAAATATTCTTTGAGCCAATACTTTAAATTTTTATGTATTTCTATTTTTGATGATAAATATTTATTTTTTTATTTAACCTATACCATTTTGTATATAAACTTTTAGATATAAACGAATAATCGATATTTTATCTGAATCACAACTTTATTACAATAAAACTTTCAAAATAAATCCTTAAAAGTAAAACATCAAGATTTATTGCATGCATAGATGATTTTTAATTTACATGCAAATTTGATTAATATATACATAAGATTTATATTTAAATAATAATTAAAGACCAATTTAACACAGTTACTATGTATTTATTTTTTTTAAATCTTCATATGCACTCGGTTAACCCTTCAAAGCAGCTAATTTAATTAACTCAATTCCTCTATCTTTATCTATTTGTTCTCCTAATTTTCCATTTAGATAAACATCACCCAAATTATATAAAGCAGTCGCATTCCCTGCATTAGCTGCTCTTGTCATATAATCCAACACAACCTTCACGTCATAATTTTTCTGCTCTATTAACAAAAATGCATAACGAAGTTGTGCATCGGTAACATCTCCATCTGCAGCTTCCTTAAAAATATTTTTAACGCTTCAATGGCATCATTGTTCACATAGTATCCTGGCATTAAATAATACCCTTTTCAATACTTTGCAAGATTATAGCCTAAATTTGCGTGTCCACCCAAACATTCCCATGTATCTTTGTATTTCCTTTATTTATGATATTCGAGTCCATCTTCAAACGGTTCCAATATACATGATTGTGGGAATTCCCTTTTCTTGCCACAACTATCGGAAATCCTTAAATCACAATTTAGATTAAAATAAGAAACATCATCTAACATTCTTTTACTAAGAATCTCCGGTGATGTATCGTTAGTTGCATAATTCTCGTACAAATCTTTAAGTTTTGTGCGGACTTCCAAATAGGATGGACGTTTATCCGGATCATCTTGCCATGCTATAGGAAACATCGTTAAATTTTACGTGTTTAATAAGACAACAAACAATTTTTTTTAAACTTAGGTACCTCGTCTGATGATTTTTGTAAGTTCTTTGTGTATTTGACTTTCACTAAGGTGTATAAATTCTCTTCCTTTGTTTTTAAAGTGATCTTTAATCTCAGAAATGGACATATTTACATATGGGATTTTTTGATGACAAAGCTCCCAAAGAAGCATTCCAAAACTATTTAAGATAATCTTGGTCAAAATCGAAACCTATGATAATAGTAATAAATTAAAAGAGAATTTAAAATATTACCTGACATTTCGCTATAATAGGAGTAACGGTTTTTTTTTATTTTTTCGGGAGACATCCAGCGAATACAGTCATTTGAATTTCCGAATGGTATGAATTCCCTTTGATTACGAGACATTTCAAAATTCGAGATTTTAGCTATCTTGTTTTCTGTAATCTAAGAATATGCGTATATTAAGGATTAATAATATAAAATCATAAAAACACTACATTTACATTTAAAATTAAATAACAAACCAAAATGTTCTCACAACGAACTTCATTATGTAGAATATTATTATTATATATAAAGAAGAGACCATTAAAGATATCATGAGTAATTTTTAATTTTAGACCCCAATTAAGAGTATATTTTTCATAAAAAGATTTCAGACATCCGTAAGTTGCCCAAGCAAAAATCACGACGCTCTCCTTTTCTACTTCAGAAAGGCCATAAAAAGTAATGATGTGTTCGCATCTTCCTAATAAACTGAGTATAGCCAATTCGGTTTGAATTTTTTGAGCTTCAGCGGTATGATCATCAACAACAGATGGTATCGTTTTACATGCAACTTCAATACCACAATAGATTTTTTTAATAACCGTTCTATTCTTTCCTCTTTCCTTTTCTTTCCCAGAATCCGCTGTTTAGGATTCGAATATTTAATTATTTGTATCTTAAACACCTCATTTAGCGGGTTCAATACATTAGAACCACCACCGGATTTCGATATTTGCTTTTAAGTTGTTCCACATTATATGATAATGTAAATAGAGCATCGTTAAAATAATTCATGTCACCACTGAATTCGTCCATTAACTAACCAGGAAAATATTAAATTAGACGAACTCATACAAAGGCATTTAAGATAAGCGTCAACAAATAAACACTAACCTTGCCAATCATGATGAGATCCTCCTTAATATCATCATATTCTTGTTCTTTTTGTTTACCAGAATAAATTGCCATTGTAAGTTGTAAATCACCACATACAGATTCGAATTCGCTGACAATGCTATCAAACTTCTCTCTAACAACGTTAGCATTCGCATACTGTCGCCAACTTGATTGCTGCGTCACATCCTTTGCAAAATCCTTAATACTATCTAGCACGTGACAGATTTTAACCCATGCATCGTAATATGACTGACTACTAAAATTTTTTTTATTCTGGCGTTGTAAATATCTAACCGCTCGTTCAACAATATCTACACGATCAACTAAAGCCGCACATATTTTACGATTACACTTTGCATTTTCATATATTCTTGTTAGGTCAGTCGCAATTATTTGAACTTTCGCAAATAGTGGGATAAATGGCTCTATGATATTAACACTACTTCCATGGCCTGAGTTGCAACCTTTAAGGCTGTTTTTCTGCTCAAATTTATAATTAAATATTGTTATCGTGTAACCAGGTACAAAATTCTTAACCAACCAAAGATTTTCACTTCCTAATATTTATACGAGTAATACTTGATTGTTGCAGTTCAACAATACCTTTACTTTTACTGTACTTCAGGTGCAAATCCTGTACTTAGAGATGATTCTCCTGTCCGAACTTTATAAATAGGAACTTTAAGTTAATCAATATTGAAAACTGGATTTAAACCTATCTTACAATTATTCAACCTATTTTATAAAGGAAGGCAGTATGATACAATCTATTCACAAACAGATATGTATATAATATCTCAGATCTAACACAACCAGATTCTATATTATAATCAGGAAACAATATATCTCTTATAAAAGTGAAGTATGTAGCAACAATACTAAACCATACAGAATATATAAAAAAACAAGCCAAGACAAAAGATAATCAAATTCAAATACAATACATAATAAGAACAGTAGAGAACTCTTACTTGTAAAAAAGCTCAAAATATATATATATACAATAAATAAAATTAGGATGAAGCAATATTCTTAAGAACAATAAATATTGAAAAAACAAAACACAATTCAAAAATATTTAACAGAATTTCAAGCCTATTAGACAAAGACTGAGTTTCTCCTTTGCAATTTATAACAACTTGTAACAAATAGTAAAAAACAAACAACAGAGAGGAAAAAATATAAACTTTTTCCTACTTCGTGTCTAATTTTCTTTTTAGAAAATTCCCAAAAAAATCAAAAATAAAAACTTTATTCACATAATTATTTAAAAAACATATAAGAGATTAATATCAGATAAATATTAAGAGCAAACAACTAGCATCTTCCACTTTATACTTTAGATATCCATACTTTCCAACAGAAAATCTTTAAATAAACATATCTCTCAAAAGAGGGAATAAAAAATACACTTCCTGATTTATAGTAAGGTCTCAAAAAGCTAACATCCACTATTATCACTATAGCCAGTCATGTGTCAGTTAAACACCTTTCTAGATACTGTAGTTACTTAAGAAAGATCAAATTCCACTCAATAAATCAAACAACCTCACATTCTTCCTTGAGTTAGAAGAATAATAAGACTTCCCATCAACTTTACAGAGTTGAAAAAGTCTTATCCTATATATCAAAATCTTAAAAAACCAAAATCAGTTTACTTCCTTCAAATCTGGATAATACAAAAATCATCTACTCAAATAAATACCAAAATAACCACTACATGTTAACAAGCAATAATATATCAACAAGCAACAACATATCAACAAGCAACAATATGTTAACAAGTAATAACACATTAATAAACAATAACATGTCAACAAGCAACAATATGATTATACTTCAATAGACTTTTCAAGTTAATAACAAGCTATCAATTATACAGTAAATAAACAAAAAAGCATCAAAAATTATATTACAAATTAACTAACATTACCTGTTACTTAATACTAAATGCCAACAATTACTTATTTCAACAAAAGACAAGTTACATTACATAACAATATCCTTATTACATGCATAATTTTCAATATTTTTTATGCTTACTGATTATTATTTAACATGTTTAAGTACAACATTCAAAAAACTTCCATCAAAATTTTATATTCTCTTTTATTCTCTTTATTATATCACCAAATCACCAAATTTCCTTTATTGAATATTATTCTTATTAAAAGGAAAAAGCATCAATTTGCAATCATTTATATGAACCAAAACAAAAAAATTGATATTAAAAAACTATCCATATTTACCATTACTCCTTTTCTAACCAATCATTCTTCAATATAGCTTATTTTCACTCAAAATATTACTTATACAAGCTTACCAAATCTTTTTATTATACAAGTGGAATTTACAATCAAGGATCAAAACAATCTACTTATTTAATTTTTCTTCTTAAAAACAAACTTTACAATCAGTTAGATGAATTTTTAAATTATCAAAATTCCTTTCAAACTATTTTTACAAACAATGAAGCTCTCAAAGAAGAAATTCTCACTTATATTACTAGCAAAAGCTGGAACTATTCCAAGTATCTTTCCTGAAATACTGTATGATTAAAATTAATAGAAAGACAAGTGAAAAGAAAAAAGTATTTTTCTTAAGTGCAAAATATCAAATCAGTCTAGCTTATGGTTCTGAAAATTGGAATTGAATAGAATTGCAAAGAATCACATGAAATTCAAAACACTATTAAAAATAATAGTGAGTATACTTCACCTATTAAATTTAATATAAACTTGAGAATAAAATACAGAATTGAAAAGAATTGTTAGGATCCTTAGTCTAGCTAAACATCCAAATATTTTATTTATTTCTTCATCCAATAATTTTATTATAACTTCTAACTTTTCATCATCTAACCAATCACAAGTAACAAAACTAATTAATTCTCATATCCAATTAAATATTGCATTACACTCTTCTAATAAAAATTCAGCACACTCAAATTTAATTATCAACAATGACTTATTTATATCAATCAACTTGAATTTTTCTATTCCAAATGATTTAGACATGGGAATCTTATCCAGTATATTTTCTTCTCAAAAACCAAGAACAATCTTTTATCCACTTCAATCAATTTTTCAAATGTTCTTAACTCACAAACCTAGATAAGTTCTTTCTTTCTTCTATCAGGTCCTCATCTCTTATTACACAAAGTCTTATACTTGCAGTTTCACTAACTCTTTAAATATTTGCAACTCTAATAAGCAAGATTATAAACCTAACTAAAAAATTATCTTTAAAACTAAAAAAAAACAAGTTAGCACAAAACTCAGTGAATATAAGAACAATCTAGCAATAAGTTATCAGGTATTAAGAGATATAATCCTCTTGACTGTAATAATAATAATAACAATGAAATAGATTCACAAGATTTCCTATTATTAAAAGGTATCTGTAATTACCACCAAATAGACCAGTGGACCTTCAAAGTATTATTAATAAGAAGAAAACCACAAGAAATAATCAATTTTATTCTTGATATTCACAAGCCACCTAAAAATAGCACTAGACAAAAGCCTTCTCTTGCTATCTTTACAAAAATAGAGGCAAGAAACTGACAATTTTTCAGATCCTTTTCAAAATCAAAGACCTTTAGAACAACCATCAAAAAGAATATAAGAAATTAAAAAAATAATTCCAAAACAATTAAAATTTAAAAACAAGATCATCTACCTGAATTATATAACAAAACAAAAAATCAGGCAACTTCTAAATATCTGTCTTCTTGTTATATATCTGCAATACATCAATATATTCGATTTTATCCCATTTCAACTCTCACAAATTTTGGTATATGAATGTAATTATTTCTATTATCTAAAGAACACAAAAGATCTTGATTATTTCAAACTTTTACTTTTCTATAAATAAATATTTCAGAACAATCTTCCCTCACTTTTATCAAACTTCTTCAAAAATCAAAACAAAGATCTCTTATAAAATTCTTATTTCAGATAGAAGCACAACAGAAGACATCACAAGATTATTGCTATTCTATTAATTGTTTAATTTTCTTTCAAACTCATATTTTAAAATCTTACCTCTACTACATGAACATTCTTTCAATCATCCAGACAACTTTTTTTCCTTGTTTTCAATAATCAAAAAAAGGAAACTAAGAAACCTGAAGAGTTTGATAAGGAAACTTAGAAAATAATTTGTCATCTCTCCAAGACTTTCAAAATCTTACTTTGATCTTTCTTATCAAAAATTCCACTTCCTGACTTTCTTATGAATCTGGTACCTGAATTTCAAAACCAGTTTCCAATAAATTCATTCATTCAAGATATAAGTGCAATGGTCAAAGAACTCAGAAACAAATATTTCTTCAAGAGACTTTCTTCATGCTTTATTATATTTAAGGAGTTTCTTTCTTATAGTCACTTGTCAATCTCAAAACATCTAATATCAATAACATTTCAAATTTCTGTTACTAATCATTAAGATGCTCATACTCTTATTAACATTCTTAAAAAAGATTTCTTTTTTCAATTACTATTGGAAGTACAGTGGATCTCTCCAAATGTCTTCCAAATTGATAAGCCTTAACTATCAAAAAATATATCAAATCTTAATTCTTTCTTGGGTATTGGCAAATTTCTTTCAAAAGATAAAAATCTTGGAAAATAATCAAATCTATTAATAGCAAATATGAATTTCAAAGAATTCCCAAGGCATGGTTTAATATTTTACTTATTTCATTACTAAAAAATCCCAATGAAATCAATCAAATATTACAAGAGAATAAATGTCATATATTAGTATTTCATTACCAGATAACAATCTTCTTTTAGCTAGCATTATTGATCTTCACAAAATATTCAAATTCAATAGACTTCTTGAACATTTTATTATCTTAAACTTTTTTTAATCCAAAGTTCAATCTTACTTTCTTAATAATCTAATTCTTTTTTATAAGTACAAAAACCAATAACCACATATAAATACACCTCCTAGACTTTTTTATATCAATTATTTCCTCCTAACAAACTCTATTACTATTTATAATAAATCAATTTCTTCCTTATATCACTTAGATTATTACTTAAATTGTTCCTTTACTCATAATAATTCAGATATATATACTTTTTGCAACTATCAAAATCTAATCTTTTTTTAATACATTTACTGTAATACAAAAGAACTTAATAAAATCACCAAACTTTAAGTTCTCTCCAATTCTATTGGAAACAGGTCAATTCTACTCTGTACAGAAATCAAATTAAAAAAAAATGACTTATATTCAAAAAACATTAATGACAAATTCATTATATATAACAATACAAACTTATTAAAAAATAGAACAGCTCTTATTATAGAAAAAGATTTCTCTTCTCATATATTCGAAAATTTATCAATTTCAGAATTTTGCTTCTCTATCATTCTAAAATTTGAAGGCAAGATTAATATTCTTCTAATTGCCATTTATCTTCCATAAAAT